ACTTTCTCTGCTCCCATACTGACAACACTTATACCATAATTTCGGATAGAGTCAATGCTTACTATTTACATTACTATGATTATGAAAATAATTATTTTCTATGAAGGTATTCTATGACTGTATTTCCTTTCTTGCACTAACTGTATTTCACTAACTTCTCTTGTTTTCAGTAGAATTAATAATTCTCTTTTCCTTAGTTTGTTATATACTTATCATTAATTCATCCCTAAATATTATCAATCTTCTCTAGATATGTTTAAAATATTAAGGATTTTATTAACTCTATTTTTTCTTTAGAGACTTCCACCTTACAGCTCTCTATCCTTATGCTTCCATCTGGACTGGGTATTCCTTAGGCTATTGTGCAGTCATTGTCTGGAGATCTTTTTTATGATCGTCTTAGTGAGTCCTTCAGCTTTACTCTTGTATTGGATTCCTTGTTTCTGGCATCCAATATTTTCCCCTTTCTTGGTTTATTCCTTCAGAAGACTCATTAAAAAGGTATGTTAGTTAAGGGGGAGATGACTATTTTGAGCTCTTCTATGAATGAAAATGTCATTATTCTGCACTTATGCTTGACTGATAGTTTGGCTAAGTATAGAATTGGAATTGAATTATTCCCTATTGCATCTGAAGGAGAAGAAAATGAATACTGTCAAACGTAGAAGAAAAGAGTTTCCCTCTAAGCTGACCTTCAAGGGATCAGCTGTCACCCTTGAGGTTGACTATCTGGGTGGAAGAAATTTCTCTCCAGCTTTTTAAAACATTTCTCTGCATCCTGTAATTGCATACTAATTCTGAAAATATTAAACCAGCAAAATAATATCAGTGATTAGCATAATGATAGTCTACTGGTAGATTTCAAGAACTAGAGAAAAGTTAAAGAGATCACCCTTTAGCTGGTATATATTGATTGTGATAATAGGAATGGTAGTATTAACTTCATCAAACTCCCTTCCTTATCTAATGACCTCCAATGTCTCTTCCACTCCTCTATCTCTAGGATCAAATTCAGTCTTCTCTAAAGAGCCTTCCAAGTTCCTACCCACTTTTCCCTCCTAGTCCAGTCAAGATACACTAGTCTTATTATCCCTTGCTCATTTTTTCTGTTCACCAACCAGAAATCCTCTTCCCAGAAGTTTTTCTCTTAAAACAAATACTACACATTTTCAAGGCCTATTTCAAAGTCCATCTTCTCCATGAAATCTGGTTTCACTCATGTGCCAGATATTCTGGACTGGCTTACAATACGTTCTTTTCTCTTTGTAGTTGGAGAGATTGGAAATATGAAAATTACATTTCTGAAATTTTCTTGTAGCAAGGTTCTGGATTTGAGTTAGGTTCTAACTAGATACCCTCACAAAAGTTTTGTAATTAAATTTGGAATTTGGATTGAATTGAATTGAATTGATTTGGATTTTGGAATTGAATTATTCCCTATTGCATCTGAAGGAGAAGAAAATGAATACTGTCAAAAGTAGAAGAAAAGAGTTTCCCTCTAAGCTGACCTTCAAGGGATCAGTTGTCACCCTTGAGGTTGACTATTTAGGTGAATGAAGATTTGTCTACTTCATTCATTAGTCACTGAATGCATACTTGCTGAATGAAGAAAGAATTAATGATTGCTAGAAAGCTACTAGAGAGTTCAAGGATGAAGGCACTCACTAACTCCCACCCCCAAATAAAAAATGAAAATAAATAAGTAACAAGGAATAAGAAAAGAAAAGAAAGTTTCAGTAAATAAATCTTGTTCTGGGAGTTCAGAGCAGTCACCTACAGTGGTGGCCAAGGGATTGATGGCAGACATAGAGGGTAGATGGTTAACTAACCTCGCACATCCCATCTACAGCCTCCCCTGTCCAGTCCTGCCTGGTTGGAGGCATTTATGTTTTGTTCCTTTTGGAAGCAAGTTTCTCTCCCCTCAAGCTTCCTTCACTTTATGCAGTGTCCAGTTCCCTCACTTTGCCCAGTGTCATTTCCCACTTGCAAGTGTCACAGGAATATCACTCTTGAACAACTCTTGTGTATTCTCTCAAATTGAGCTCTGTGAAGTCCTTCATTGTTCTCCAGGGAGCTCGTGCATATCTGCCATTATGTCACTTATGACACTGAGAAGAAAGGGAGGACTCTGCTGAGAGCGACCGGCAACGCAAGGGTAAAATGCTGCTAGTCAGACACGTCTACCTTACAGCTGTTCACAAGTAACTGTAGAAAATAGCACGAATCTAAATTCTACCTCATTTCTATCTGTAAGGAGGCAACAAATATATGGTCAAATATACAAATGTTTTAAAACTACATACAGCAGTTAATGAAACGACCAGTGGCTTATCAAGAATCAAGGATAACCGTAAGTGACAGAAGGAAGCAGGAGAATCAAGACAAGAAACAATAACAGTTCAAACGTACAATCATGATTGAGCACTGTGTGCTGTTTTCAAGTACATATCTCATTTAATCCATACCTTGTAAATTCTGTATTATCAACTCCACTTTGCAAAGGAGGAAACTTAAGAGTCAGAGGAGTTCAGTAACTTGTCCAAGGCCACACAGCTGGTGTCTGAGCTAGGACTGGCTCCAAACCGTTTGATTTCAAGTCATGGGCTTTTCAGTCTTTGTACATTCGTACGGGTTCCAGGATATGAACAGATACTGAGAACCAAGGAAGAAGTTGGAGGACACACCATGTCCATTAATAGTTTTAGGGTGAGTGCCAAGGGAAAGGTAGATGGGTAAGAATTGTTTGTCCTGGGAAAAGGGTTATCATCTCACTTGTGGTCAACTCTTTATTATAAGGACATGGATGGAAGTTAGACAAGCAGAAATGCCCTTTAGTCAGGAAGAGTCATATGTATTTTTCATGAGCCTTTGACTCTGTAAGAGATTCAGTCTGGAGTGCATAAAGGAGGCTTCCAGAAACTTGGAGGTGGGGGGGGAGTAGCCTTCATTTCCTTTACCCCAGATCACCCAGAGTACCTCCTTTGTAATCAATTAGGTATATTGGTTTTCCTCATACAAAATAGTTTGAAAACCAGTACGGCACTAGACAGTTCTGAATCAAGTGTCTCATCAAGATTTCTGTCATTTATCCACATATTCATTCACTCATTCGTAAGTATTTACTGACTTCCAATTAAATATTCAGCTCTCTTCTTAACCCTGTACATCACAAGAGAAGCTACTTACTCTCTGCCTCAAGAAGGTGGCCATCTTAGAGAAAAGATTAGAAACACTCAAGTCAGGTAAGGAGCAATCCAGAGCGGGAATGATCAAGTGCCCAAAAGAATGATAAAGGCTCTATAAATCTATATTGTGTTTATTTTTAAAGTAAATGGGATGGTTAAATGGCAAATTTTATTTTTTATATATATGTGTGTGTATACACACACACACACACACATACATACATATATTTTAAACACACACAGCAAATCCCTTTCATGGGAACTAAGAAATGTTTGTCCTGGTGTAGAGGTCCGAGCCGAGGCCGAGGTTGGACCCCAGCCCTTCTAAGATGGCGCTCATCCGGTAATGGCACATCCCACCATCCGCTCTGCCGAGTGGGAGAATCCCCCTCCCAGACCTTATAAGTAGTTCCGTGCTCGTGCACACTGCATGATTTCCGCCCTGTCGCCAATAGAGTTAAAGGTCACGCATGCTCTCCCCTTTGATTGGTCTAGGAAACATATATATAGCGGTAGTTAATAGTAGGGAGAAAAGGAGAAGCTAGCAGAATGAGAAGGTAGTGAGCCAGCCTGGAGAGACAGAGGAATAAGCTAGAGAGAAGCTAAGAGCTCTAACTCACACTTGCCTGCTTGCAAGCTGCAAACTTTCTGTAACACCGCCTGTGGGAAGAAATTAAAGCTGATTGAAACCCAACCAGGTCTCCTGTGATCGCGTCGACTAGACCCACGGGAAGCGGGCGCGATATCCTGGGTCGTCCTAGAGCCATCATGGACAATGGTAATCTTAATTTGGAGCTCCCCCATCATATCTAACATGATAAAATGCACTCACACCTATATTAAATATGTGGTGTGTTTTGCATATGAAACATTTTTCATAAAATGCTTTTTATACTTTAAAATTTTTTCTTGGAAAGTACTCGACTAACAGTAACGCATCTAAGTCATAATTTATAATTGTATACTGGCAAGATGATGCTTACCCAGGAATTTGGGGATGGGGCAAAATTTAGTTTGCAAATTATTTTCAAATGTTATTTTTATGAATGATAAATGAACAATGACAAAAAGGACACAATTTAGATATTCAATCTAGAAAAGATTAATTTTACTTTTGTAGTTAAAGAAATGTTTTACACATAATTGTTGAAAAGAAAACATGGCCTTAGGATTGTGTCCAGGTGCCCTTGGATAAAAATGACCTGGAATTGGTATAGAGAACAAAAATAAGTATGCTCTAATAAGTATATATATATATATATAATATGAAATGGAAGCTTCCTCTACTCATTTTTCCCTCATCCACTGAGAATCACACAAAACATAAAAAGCACAAAAAGAATGTAGGTACTGATTTCCACCAGAATTGGTCTTCACTTAGGTGTGCTGATACTCAGGGGCAGAGGGCTGGACTGGTGGCCACTGGGGATCTCTGTAAAGACGTGGCTCCCACAAGAACTGAGGATATCAAAGAAGGACGTCATGCACATTGCTCATTACCAAACAGTCTATAGTTGCTAGCGAAGTGATGGGGGATTCCACTCCCCACAGTTGTCCCTCAACTCCCCACCAGTTTCCATCCCTGAAAATCAAACTAATATCTTCTAAACACTTTTAGATGTACCTCAGTTGTGCTTGCCAGCTGAAGTATTCTATATTTAGAATATTTTATCTTCCATCTTGGACTTACATCCAGTATGAATGTCTCCTATTAAGCTCTGCATACTTTCAGGAAGACAACATGGTTATTTTCGGCCAGGGGATGCATGCCAGATTGTCTCACAATCCTTTCCATTTACCATAGGCAGAGGGAGGGAAAGAAAAGAGGGAGAAAGTGGCCTAGCGCCCCCCACTCTACCGTTTCCTGCATAGGCTCAAGACTGCTCTGTGGGCCAGGTTGTGCTGGGTTTGAGGGCTGGAAGTAGGATGACATGAGCTGATATAGGAGAGAAATATAGGGCCCATTCCATCCCAAGATGCTGTGTTTAGTTGGGAAGACCCAGGCCATATTAAACAGAGCCGCCAAGAGGTAAGTAAGGAAGTCCTGGTTTGTGTGATAGCCAAGCAGTTCAGAGGGGAGGGATGGAGCCTCCATGGAAATTATGGTGATTGAACCAGGCAGGGTTTGCCCCCTCTGAGCATGCTTGAGGCTGTTTATCTACCCTGCTGAATCACTCAGCTTTTCTAAGTTTCGGTCTCTACAGACTATTTCCTCTCTTCTCCCTCCCAGAAATATTGGCAAGCTTCTTTAGTCATTTGTGTTTCTTTACATTCTCAAGGCCAGAGGTATATCTTCTCTGATAGATAATGGCCCTCAGTTAAGGCTTGCAAAAGCTATTTTGCTTGATGTATTAGCACCCTTTTTTAGAATAATCCTATTCCCTTGATTCTTCAGTATTTACAATTTTTGTAAGTACCGATTATGTTTTCTAAGTCAAAGTGGGTAAAATTAGCGCATTGTATCCTGTTGTTGCTGCTTTTTGGAGTAGTCAGTCTTACATGTTTGAACAATACCACCCTGGTGTAATTTTAAAAGGTAGGAGCTCGATTTTTTAAAAAACACTTAGGCGGGCAGTGTGAGCTTTCTCTGAGGATGCTCACGTCAGGAGTGTTTTACATATATCACACAAAAGGAAATGGGTTCTCAGGGGATCAGGGCCCCTCTGAGCAGAGAGGTGAACCTGCTGAATTGTGGCAAATGGGCCCTTTTCCTCCAGCTGCACACTGTCAGCCAGGAGACATTTGAGGCCATCTTCCATTAATGGGCTTGTGGTTTGGGGAGCAGTCTGTGGTGGTGGGTGGGAGGGAGCAGGTAGAAAGGCCCAGTGAGCGGCAGTGGTTCCCCAGTCATTCGAGAGTATGTGTTCACTATGCAGTCCCTGTCAGCTTGGTAGCAGCCCTTGTGGGCTTCAGACCTCTCTGTTTGGGATTATCTAAAATTCCTGAAATGCAGACTTAATGACACACTAGTGAGCAGTGACTTTAGGCTTTCAGATAATTGGGTAACAGGAGGGATCATTGTGAGCTGAATAGTCAGGGAAGCCTTCCTGGAGGAGTGGGAGTTCAGCAGAGTCTGGAAAGATGACTAGAATGTAGATGGGCTGACAGAACTATGCGCTAGGTGCACTCTGATCCCAAGCACGGCTATCACGTAGCTGTGAGAGACCAGCCGCTTGGGAACTTGGGAGCTTCTTGCCTGTTGTGCCAGACTGATCAATTTGCTGAGTATTCATCCATGGTCATAGACTTTGCTCTGCCCTGGTTTTGAAATCTTATATTTAAAAAAAAAAATTAATAAAAGTATAGAGGATACTTTAACGAATGCCCACGTCATTCCAAACAGGAAAATATTCTGCCATATTAATTCAGATCTTTTAATAATGAGATGACTTTTACAGATAACATACTTAACATGTGTCTGCAGGACATAAGATATGTGCATTTTGCATTTTGCTAGATATTGCCAAGTTGATCTCCAAAGTGGTTATGCCAATTTGCATAACCACACCAGCATTTTGTGAGAGTTGCCATTTCCCTATATCCTTTTCACCATTCAGAATTTATTCTTTGCTTATCTTATGTGTTTGAAATGATCTCTTATTATGATTTTAATTAGTGCTCCTTGATCGTACTGAGGCTGAGCCTTTTTAAATGTGTTTTTAGGTTATTTACATTTCTTCTTACATAAATCATTTTTCTATCTGGTTGTTTGTAGTTCTTTATTCTGAATAGTAATGTTTTGGTCATTATATATGATGTAAATATCTTCTCCCAGTCTACTGCTTGGCTCTAAGTTTTGTTCATGGTGTCTTTTGTTCCAGAAAGTTTTACATTTTGATGTCACATTTTTTTCAGCCTTTTCCTTTATAATTTCTGTGTGTGTTTGTGTTTATATGTATTTGTCTTTTTAAAAAAGATCATTCCTTATATTGTGGTCATAAATTATATGCCTATATTTTCTTCTAATAGTTTTAAAGTTTCATTCTATTTTTATCTTTTAATTAGCGAACTTTTGTTTAGAGCGGTTTTAGTTCACAGCAAAATTGAGTGGAAAGTATGCAGAGTTTCCATGTACTCCTTTGTCCTCCCTGCAACACACACACAGCCTCCGGGACTAAAAACATCCCCCATCAGAGTGGTTCATTTGTTACAAAGGATGACCTGATACTGACACATCATTATCATGCAAAGCCCATAGTTTACATTAGGTTTCACTCTTGGTGTTGTCCAGTCCAAGGGTTTTGTCCAATCTGTGGTCCACTGTATATATAATGACATATATCCACCATTATAGTATAATACAGAATATTTTCACTGCCTTAAGAATCCTCTGTGTTTTACCAATTAGTTTTTCTCTCTCTCCAGTAATCTCTGGCAATCGCTGGTCTTTTTACTGTCTACAGTTTTACCTTTCCACAGTGTCATATAGCTGTCATACAGGATAGAGCTTTTTCATAATGGCTTCTTTCACTTAGTAATGTGCTTTGAAGGTCCCTGCATGTCTTTTCTTGGCTTGATAGATCTTTCCTTTTAGGGCTAAATATTTCATTGTCTGGATGTATCACAGTTTATTTATGCACTCATCCAAAATTTGGCAATTATGAATAAAGCTATTATAAACACAAGGATTTTGTGCAGACATAAGTTTTTACTTCATGTGGGTAAATATTAAGGAGCACAACTGTTGGATCACATGATAAGAGAATATTAGTTTTGTAAGAAACTGCTAAACTGTCTTCCCATGGGGCTGACCATTCTGCATTCCCACCAGCAATGAATAAGAATTCCTTTGCTGCATATCCTTGCTAACATTTGATGTTTGGCCATTCTAATAGGTTTGTAGTGGTATCTCATTGTTTTAATTTCTAGTTCCCTAATGACATATGATTTTGAACATTGTTTCATATGCTTTCTTGCCATCTGTGTATCTTTGGTGAGGTGTTTGTTCAGGTATTTTACCTTCTTTTTAACTGGGTTATTCATTTTTTACTGCTGAGTTTTTAAAGAGTTATTTGTATATTTTGGATAACAGTCTTTTGTCAGATGTGTACTTTACAAGTATTTTCTCTCTGTCTATGGCTTATCTTCTCATTCCTTTGATATTATCTTTCACAGAACAAAAGTTCTTAGCTTTAATGGAGTCTAGTTTAGTAATTATGTCTTTCATGGATCATGTCTTTTGTGTTATATCTAAAAAAGTCATTGCCAACCCCATGTCATCTAGATTTTCCTATGTTCTAGGAGATCTACAGGTTTGTATTTTACATTTACTTCTATCATCCATTTCGAGTTAATTTTTGTGAAGGGTGTAAGATCTGTGTCTAGATTCATTTTTTTGCATGTGGATGTCCAGTTGTTACAGCACCATTTGTTGAACAGATTATCTTTACTCCATTGTATTTTTCCTATGCTGTGTGAATCTATTTCTGGGCTTTCTATTCTGTTCCATTGATCTGTCCTTTCACCAATACCACACTGTCTTGATCACCACAGCTTTATATAAAGTCTTAAAATTGGGTAGTATCAGTCCTTCAGCTTTGTTCTTGCACTACAATATTATGTCGGCTATTCTGGATCTTTTGCTTCACTATATAAATTTTGGGATCATTTTGTTGATATGTATACAATAACTTTCTGGGATTTTGATTGAAATTTGTTGTATCTATAGATCTAGCTGGGAAGAACTGACATCTTGACAATATCCATGAGCATGGAATCTATTTCTTTGAAAAATTCCATTTACTTAGTTCTTTGATATGTTTCATCAAAATTTTATAGTTTTGTTCATATAGATTTTGTATGTATGTTGTTAGATTTATATCTAAGTATTTAATTTTGGGAGGTGCTAATGTAAATGATAATGTGCTTCTATTTTCAAATTCCACTTGTTCATTGCTGGTATACAGGAAAGCAATCAACTTTTGTATATTAACTGTATCCTGTAATTTTGCTATAATTGCTTATTAGTTCCAGGAGTTTTTGTTGATTTTCTGTTGATTCTTTCAGATTTTCTGTATAGGTGATCTATTATCTGCCAACAGTTTTATTTCTTCCTTCCCAATATGTATACTTTTTATTTCTTTTTCTTGTCTTACTACATTAACTAGGCCTTCCAGTATGATGTTGAAAAGCAATGGTGAGGGGGGACATCCTTGTCTTGTTCCTAATGTTAGCAGAAAATATTGGGTTTCTCACCATTAAGTATAATGTTAGATGTGAGTTGTTTGTAGATGTTCTTTATCAAGTTGAGGGATTCCCCTCTATTCCTAGTTTGCTGAGAGTTTTTATCATGAATGGGTGTTGGATTTTGTCAAATGCTTTTTTTGCATCTATTAACATAATCATGTGATTCTTTAGTATGTTGATGTGATGAATTATATCATTGATATTTGAATGTTGAACTAACCTTGCATACTTGGAATAAATCTCACTTGATTGTGCTATATAATTCTTGTTATACACTCTTAGATTCAATTTGATAACATTTTGTTCAACATATTTGCATCTGTGTTCATGAGATACATTGGTTGATAGTTTTCTTTTCTTGTAATGTCATTGGTCTTGATATTAGAGTAATGCTAGCCTTATAGAATGAGTTAGGAAGTATTCCCTTTGATTCTATCTTCTGGAAGAGACTGTAGAGAATTGGCAAACTTTCTTACTTAAATGTTTGGTAGAATTCACCAGTGAACCCATCTGGATCTGCTACTTTCTGTTTTGGAAAGTTATTAATTACTGATTCAACTTCTTTAATAGACATGGGACTATTAAGATTATATATCTGTTCTTGTGTAAGTTTTGACAGGTTGTGTCTTTCAAAGGATTGGTCCATTTCATCTAGGTTATCCAATTTGTGGGCATAAAGTTATAACATTCCTTTATTATCTTTTAATGTCCATGAAATCTGTAGAGATGTCCCTTCTTTCATTGCTGATGTTAGTAATTTGTATCTTCTCTCTTTTTTCTTTAGTCTGCAATGATTTTATTGATCTTTTCAAAGAACCAACTTTTGATTTTGTTGATTCTCTCTATTGATTTTCTATTTTCAATTCCATTGATTTTGGCTCTAATTTCTATTATTTCTTTTCTTCTTCATACTTTGGATTAATTTGCTCTTCTTTTTCTAATTTCCTATGGTGGAAGCTGTGATTATTGATTTTAGATCTTTGTTCTTTTCCAAATCATGCATTCAGTGCTATAACTTTCCCTCTAAGCACTGCTTTCATGGCATCCCATACATTTTGATAGATTGTGTTTTCATTTTTATTCAGTTCAAACTATTTAAAAATTTCTCTTGAGGTTTCTTCTTTGACCCAAGAAGATTTCTTCAAGAGGAAATTTTTCATGAAAGAAGAAAGATTTCAAGAAGGTTTCTTCTTGTTTTACTTAGAAGTGTGTTGTATACTCTCAAATATTTTGGGATTTTCCAGCCTATCTTCCTGCTATTGATTTCTAGTTTAATTCTAGTATGGTCTGAGAGTAGACATTCTGTGATTTTTATTCTTTGTTAAAAAAAAATGTTAAGACAAGATTTCTGGCTCAGAATGTGGTCAATCTTGGTGAATGTTCCATGTGGGCTTGAGAAGAATGTGTGTTCTGCCATTGTTGGATGAAGTAGTCTATAGACATTAATTATTTCCAGTTGATTATTGGCACTATGGAGTTTAGCTATATTCTTACTGATTTTATGCCTACTGGATCTGCCCATTTCTGACAGAGGGGTATTATAGTATCCAGCTATAATAGTGGATTCATTTATTTCGCCTTGCAGTTATATCAGTTTTTGTCTCACATATTTTGATGCTCTGTTGTTAGATGCATACACAGTAAGGGTTGTTATCTCTTCTTGGAGTACTGACCCCTTTATCATTATGTTATGCCCTTCTTTATCCCTGATAAATCTCTGTGCTCTGAAGTCTGCTCTGCCTGAAATTAGTATAGCTAGTCCTGCTTTCTTTTGACTAGTGTTAGCTTAGTATATCTTTTTCTATCCCTTTACTTTCAATCTGTATGTGTCTTTATATTTAAAGTGGATTTCTGTAGACAACATATAGTTGGGTCTTGTTTTTCTTATCTATGCTGACAGTCTCTATCTTTCAATTAGTATATTTAGACCTTTCACATTTAAGGTGATTATTGATATAGTTGGATTAATATCTATCATATTTGCTAGTTTTCTATTTCCCAACCTCGTTCTTTGCTCCTATTTTTGACTGCCACACTTTTTCTGCCTTTTCCAGTTTTAACCAACCATTTTATAAGATTCAATTTTTTATCCATTCTTAACATCAATTATACTTTTTTTTACTTTTTTATTAATTGTCTAGAGTTTTGAATATACATTTACAACTAATCCAAGTCTGCTTTCAAACAATGTTATTCTGCTTCATAGATAACTCTAGCACCTTATCACAATAAAATATCTATAATTCCTCCTTAACATAGTAAAATATCCATAATTCCTCTCTTTCTTTCCCTCTTTGTATCATTGCTGTCATTCATTTCACATATATACACACATAATCACATTCATTGTTGCTATTAGTTTGAACTGTTGTCTTTTAAATAAATTAAGAATAAGAAATATAGAATTTTAAATTTTCTCTTCATTTATTCATTCCTCAATGTTCTTCTTTCACACAGATCTGCGTTTCTGATCTATATCATTTTCCTTCTTTCTGAAGAACTTTTAACGTTTCTTTCAAGGCAGGTCTACTGGCAACAAATTCCTTCAAATTTTGTTTATCTGAGAAAGTCTATTTCTTCACTTTTAAAGGATAATTTCTCAGCACACAGAATGCTAGGTTGGTGGGCATTTTTCTCTCAACAATGTAAATATTTTAATCTATTTGCTTGCATGGTTTCTGAGAAGCAAGATGAAACTATTAACTCCCCTATAGGTAAGGGGTTTTTCTTCTCTGGCTTCTTTCAGGATTTTTTCTTTTTGGCTTTAATTTTCTGAAGTTTGAATATTATATGCCTATGCGTAGTGGGATTTTAGTTTTTGAGTGCTTTTTTGGCATTTATCCTGCTTGTTCTGTGGGCTTCCTGTATCTGTGGTTTGATGTCTATCATTAATTTGGGAAATTTTCCATTGTTACTGCTTCATATACCACTTCTGCTCCTTTCTTTCCTTCTTTTCCTTCTAGTACACCCATTATGCACATGTTAAAGGCCCTCTTCATATTTGATACAGTGTGTGTTTTTGGTCTCTAGCACTTCTTGATTCTTCCATAGAATTTCCATCTCTCTGCTTATATTACCTCCATCTGTCCTAGAATATTGTCTATTTTTTCCATTAAAATCCTTAGCTTTTTCATCATAATTAAAAAAATCTGGTCTGAAAATTCCAACAGTCCTGCCATATCTGACTTTAGTTCTGATACTTGTTCAGTGTCTTCAAACTGTATTTTTTGCCTTTAGTATATCTTGTAACTTTTGGTTGAAAGTTAGACATGACGCACTGTGTAAAATAAACTGCAGTAATAAGCCTTATGTAATGTAGTGGTAAGGTATAGAGAAAGGGGAAGCAGTCTACAGTTCTATGATTAAGGCTTAGTTTCTTGGTGAGCCTGGGCCTCTGGACTGCAAACTTCACCAGTGCTTCTCAGGGGTGCCTCCCCCAACCTTCAGTGGGAAAGGATGCCTAGGTGGGTCTTATACTGTGTACTGGTTTCTGTGGAGATTTCTGCTCCAGTAAGGTGTGATTCTCTGTATCTTTATATTCTTCTCTCCAATTTGGGGGCAAAATCACATTTTGCCCTGTGACCTCACCTCTCCGATAGATCTAAGAAGAGGTGTTGATTTTCAGTTTGTTCAGCTTTTTACTTTGTTAGGATCTTGTGAAGATTTCTAAGCTCCTTATTTGTCAGGCCAGAAACCATAAGTCTAAAGTTTTATTTTTTATATTTAGTTCTTTAATAAATCTGGAGCTTAATTTTGTGGATGATGTTACATAGATTTCACATTTTAGTTTTATATGGTTAGCCAAGTATTACAACACCAATTACTGAATAGTTCAGTCTTTCTCCCCTTTTTTCAGTGCTTTTTATCAAGAGCCTACGAATAGAATCAGGTCTGTTTCTGAGCTTTCTATTTTACTCCATTGTTTTTTTCATCTTCTCTTGTATCAATACCATACTATCTTAATTACTATATTTTTATAATAATAGTTCTGGGTTAATATGCTGGCAATCATGTTACTGAAAGCCAGTTTTCCATTTTAAAAGTTCATTGAGTTATAATTTACATACCATAAAATTCACCCATTGCAAGTGTACAATTCAATGATTTTAGCAAATTTATAGAGTTGTACAATCACCACAATTCAAGAATATTTCCTTTACCCCATAAAGTTCCTTCATGCCCTTTTGTAATTAATCCTCACTTCTACCCACCATCATTTCAGCCCTTGGCAGTAACTAATCTGCTCTTTGCTTGATAAATTGATCTTTTCTGGGCATATTGTAGAAATGGAATCACACAATATGTAGTCTTTTGCATTTGTGAAAGTTAATTTTTATGTCAATACACACATAGTCCAATTTGATAAACCTATTTACTAATTTATTTAAAATGTTAAGAAATAGCCTTCTCCAATATATTAAAGTACAACAATACTATTCTCGAGGCTATTTTATCAAATGGATTCTATCTGGAGAAAAGATGTATTCTAAATTACATTTTTCTTAGCAATTTGAAGGGATGTTTTATTAGTCAAAAAATTTGAAGACTATATTCGATGGTGTTGAATATATTCATGTATATTGCTTTTAAGAATATATTAATGAAGACTTACAAAGTATGGATTAAATTTATTAAGACTATGTCCTTCGAGACATATATTCATGACTTTATATTTCCTTGACTATATTTACTGTGTCGATATTCTTGCTTACAATTCTTATGACTAAAGGAAAAAATATTGTTTAAAACACATTTGTAGCTACTTAGTACATCTTAGAAAGTCTGTGAATCAGTCATTTGTGGAATTAATCTTTCAGCATGTGCACATCTGAGAAATTGGTTTTTGGCAAACTGGCCATTCACTGAATTTGCTATTTGATGGATTGGCCAACTTCATAATATACCTTGATAGTATATGGAGCAAATCCTTTATCTTTTTTTTTTTTTCAGATTTATCTTTGTTACTTATGCACTTCAAATTTTGCATGTAAATCTTAGAATCAGAGATTAAGCTCTGTGAAAATTCCTATCTGAACTTTGTTTGGAATTACACTGTGTACTGTCTTGCCTAATAGGTTATTATTAGTGTCAAGAAGTGCGAATACTTTCTGTATGTTGGCACTGTATTCAGCAGTCTTGTTAAATACATTGATTAAGTTTGGTTTTGGGTTTTCTATGTAGATAATTATGTTGTCTGTAAACAATAATTTTTTCTCTTTCCTTATAACTAATTTTTTCCTTGTGTTATTGTATTCTTTAGGACCTCCAGTATAGTCGTGTGTAAGAGGAGCAATAGAGGGCATCCAAGTCTTTTTCTTGACATCAGAGAAAATTCTGCTGTACTTCAAACATTAAGTAAGATATTATTGTAGATATTTGAATGATACTTTGTATCAAATTAAAACAGGTCCCTTCTACTTCTGGTTAGATAAATATTTTCTTTTTTTGTTATTTTTTTTTTAGTTATGAATGAGTATTTAATTTTATCAGGTACTTTTCTGCATCTGCTGAGATAATTACAAGTTTAATCTCTTTTAGTGTGATACATGGTCATTTACATTGCTACAGTTTGTGCTATTGAAATACATTCCTGGGATAAATCCTACTTGATCAAGACATATTATTGCTTTTAAACATCTCTGAATTTTATTTGGTTTAGTATTTTACATCTCTGTTCATAAGAAACATTACTATTACTATATGATTTCTTTCCTTCCTTCCTCTCTCTTTCTTTCTCTTTCCTTTCTCTTTCTTTATCATATGATTTTCTACTATCCCACTATCTTTGTCCAGGTTAAGCTAGCTATATACAATTAAGTTAGCTTTTTCTACCTTCCTATTGCTGGAAAGTTTCTACTTCTAGAAAAGTTTGTTTTGATGTGGATTTAGTACTGTTTCAGTTTATTTAATAATAATTAGAGGTCCCTTAAAGTTAACAGTTTTCCTTGAGTCAGTTTTTATAATTACCCACTTATCTAAGTTTTCAAATTTAATGGCAAGAAGTTGTCTATATTTTATGATTTTAAAATTCCTACTGCATCTGTAGTTACAGTCCCCTGTCACCACTCAACATTATTATTTATAAAGTGTTTTTTGCTTAATCTATTAATCTGATAATCTGATAAAGGTGTATTAAAATCTTCCACTGTAAATTTGGATTTAAAAAAATACTTATGTCAGATTTTACTTTGTATATTTTGAGACTATCTTATTAAGCACATATAATTTCATGATAATTACACCTTATTTATGAATTGTTCTTTCCATTATGCAATATGTCACTTTATCGCTATTTATGCCTTTTGCCTTAAATTGTATTTTTTCTGACATGAATAGTTATTTTGATTAGTATTTGCCTTGTGTACCTTTAGATCAATTTGGTTTTAATAGTTCTATTACTTTGGTGTGAGGTGAATTTGTAGGTGGCACATGTCTGGATTTTAAAAATCTAATGTGATAGTCTCAGGTCTCCATAGTTGACTTTAGCCCATTTATATTTATGATGATTACTGACAGATGAGATTAATTCTGGCATCTTCTTTTAATTTCTTTTTTTCCAGGTTTTTTCTTGGCTCCTTTTATTGCTTCTTTTCTGTTCATTGCTACACTAATGATGTTTTCTTTTTCCCCACTTTTTTTGTTTTCTCTGCTAATTTGGAAATTGCATATTGTATTTTAATTATTTTAATGGTTACCCATACATTAAAAAATGTATTATGGAATATTTAAAATATATAGACAGTTGTACAAAATAATAATACACTTATTTTCAGCTCTGTGGACCATGTTTGGCTCAGATTTCTTTTTATAAAGAAATAAAGCATTACAGAGCAATTGAAAGCTCTGTGTATCCCACCTCCTTTTTCTCCACAGGCAACCACTAATCTGCATTTGGCATTTATCATTTCCATTGATGCGGTATATGTATGTCTCCATGTTCAATATATAGTATTATCCTGTGGTTTCTACTTATATAAATGATATGTTAATGTATGCATAATTCTACAACTTTTGTTTTTATTATGTATTATACATTATTTTAAGATTTATTTATTTTAGCACATGTGGCTTTACTTCATATCTTTAATTACCATATAGCATCCATTGAAAAACTGTGTCATGATCCATTCTCCTGGTGATGGATATTTAGATTGTTTCCAATTTTTCATTGTCACAAATGTTGGAATAATTTTCTTGCACATAGTTCCTTGGGCAAATGAGTGAGAGCATTTTCAATGTTTATTTTAAAGTAGAATTTCTTTGTCCTAGGGTAGGTGCAATTCAACTTTATTAGATATTGTAAAGTTGCTCTACACAGTGGTAATACCAACTTATATATATTTGGTGTATTTCTAAGACTCCTTTGCACCTAGGATTCCAGATATGGTCTAGTTTTACCAATAGGATGCATTCAGGTGAAACCAGGAAGGGGGATTGAGGCAGAGATCATGTTTCTGCTGCACTTGCTAGCAAGCACAGCGACAGAAGCACTTGTTTTCTGAAGCAGCATTGGCCCCTAGCTTCAACGGGTGGAGAGCAGGGTGTTGCCTGTGTAGATCAGAGCAGCAGCTTTCTGATCACACAGATCATATAAGAGTAAACAGCGGTCTTGATGGCCCAATTCAGGGTGGCTTTGCGAATTGCTTCTGAAAGCTCAACTTAGATTCTATTTCTTTAGTGCAGTGATTCTGTGGGCTTTTTAATACCCTATAAGGAACTCCTTTCTATTTAAACTTGCTAGAGTGGTTGATGTTCCCTGCAACACCTTAACCAACAGATTGGTTTTGTGGTTATTTTTCCTAGAATCAGGGTGCATTATGTTTTCAGTTCCTTCTCCGTAAAAGTCCTTTAAAATTTTGTTGACCTATCTGTACTATTGTCACAGTTTTAAAGTGTATTCAATACTTTAAACATTTTTATTGTGAAAGGTAATCAAGGCATATGTCAAACATTCAAAAAGCACTAACTGTATACAATAGAAAGTAGGTCTCCTGCTCTTCTCTGCCCTCCAGCAACTCGGGTTCCCAGAGGCAAATACCACTATCAGTCATGTACCTACCCTTTCAGAGTTATTTTATGCATATACAAGGACATATATGTATTTTATTTTTGAAAATGAATGGTATACATATAGATTTGCATCCAGCTTTTGTGAATAAAAACTCACTGGGAGAAAATAACATGCACATAGAAAATGCAAAAAACATATATCGAGTTAATCACTGTAAAGTGCGCACCTGTGTAACCACACTCAGCTCAAGAAACAGAACATTGCCCCTCCTCCAAAGCCTGTTATCTGCCCCTCCGTCATCATCCATTCCCTCCCTCCCTGCCGAGGGAACCGTTATCTTGACTTTTGTGATATTCATTTCTTTGCCTTCTCTATGGGTTTGCCTCCTCTGAATGCATCTCTAAACAATAAAGTTTAGATTTGCCTATTTAAAAAATTTTTTATTAATGGAGTCATATTGTGTATATTCTTTTGTGTCTTGCTTTTTTTTTTGCTCCATATCATATTTTGAAGATTCATCCATGTTTTTGAATGTAATGCACTTTGCTTTTTCCACTTACAAATATTATCTTGGAGATTGTTCCATAGCACTGCCTGTAAGAACAATAAGTAATTCAACCAGTGTCAAAATGATGAGCATTTAGGTTGTTTTCCATTTTTTACTATTACAAATATGCTTCAACAAATACTCTTGTACATACATGTGCAAGTAAATGAATAGAATAAATTCCTAGATGCTAAATCTTTGAGTCAAAGATGTCCATTTCAACTCTTGATAGACATTGCCAAACTGTTCTTTTTAAAAGTTACGCTAATTTTTATTCCCATTAGCTATATAGATTTCCTGTTTCCCTACACATTCCCCAATACATTTAAATCTTTTTGTATCTTCTTTGATAAGTGGAAAATGACACTTCATTTTTGTTTTATTTCTTATCTCTTTTATCATGCATAAAGTTAGGCCTTCTTTCACTTTTAAAAACTATTTTTATTTCCTTTTCTGTTTGTTGGTCTTTTTTTCATTGACTTTAGAAATTTTCATAATAAGATTTGTCCTTTTTTAGGTGATATGAATTGCAAGTATTTTCCCCAGGTTGTGTTTGTTTGTTTTTGACATTGTGGTGTTTTCTCCCATGCACAAACTTTCATTTTTATATAATTATGTTTAACACTTTTTAAGGGTCTTTGGCTTTTCTGGCATACCTAGAGATGCTTTTCTCACTCTGGAATTATTTTTTAAAAACTCTCCCATATTTTCTTCTTGCTCTTTTAATGTTCATTTGTAATGCTTATGGCTTTGATCTGTCTGGAGTCTCTTTAGATATGAGGTCTAAAATAGGTTATAATTGTTTTACAAATTATTTTTTATTCGTAGTTCCACTGATCTGTTTTTTCATGCACCAGTAGTGGACTACTTTAATTTTGTAGCATTTTAATGTATTTTAAGATCTGGGTGGGCTAGTTCCCCTCATTACACCTCATTTTTAGAATTTTTATGGCTATTCTTGCTTGTTTATTTTTCCATGTGAAATTTAGTGTCAGCTTGTCTGATTCCCCTTCTCCTGCCAAGAAACTTACTGGGATTTATAGATGAATTTAGGGAATACTGACATCTTTATGATGTTGACTCTTTTTGTACAAGAATACTCTTTTGTTCAAGTCTTTTTTGGTCTGTGTTGTTCATTAGCATTTGCATTTTAAATGATCCAGCCCTTGGACATTCTTTGCTTGATTTCTCCCTAAGTATTGTTTCTTCCATTACCTGTTCTAACTGGTTGCTGTTTTTATTTAGAAGATCTATAAATTTCTTTATGTTAATTTTATACACAGTGATGTTACTGAATTGTATTAGTCTTTCAGCTGATTCTTGTTTTTCTTTCTCTTGATAAAAATCCCATCATATGCAAAGAATGATCATTTCTTTTCTTCTTTCTTGCCTCCTTATACTGTTCAGCACAATATCAAATAAAGGCATTGAGAAAGACCACCCCTGATTTGATTCTGACTTTAAGAAGACTGCTTCTTCTTTCCTGCCCAGCCAATTGAGGTTTTGCTCCAGTAAGTTGGAGAAAGCTGAGGCTTTGGGGAAAAGATGGTGGCAAAGTCCGTGGCGGTGTCCCACGGGCTGGGGTGTGGGGATGCTCCTGCTTTGCTCAGTCGCTCATCTTACCCTCCCTCCAGGCAGAGTCAAAGAGAAGCCCTGGGACAGAGGGAAGCCAGGCGAGGGGAGTTGTGGATGGGGGACTTCAGAAAACCCTCTGGATTCCTCTTACCAGGCAGAGCTGCTTGTGGGTGGTTAAGCTCTAGAGGCGTTGGCTGGTGGGCCTGCATTAGCATCTCCTCTGCCTTGTGTCTGACTTCCAGCCCAGGGGTGGACGGGGAAGATGCTCAGTCATGGAGACAGTGAAGACAAAGAGGAGAGGGGACGGTTACTTGCCTCTCTTCCTAGTGCAGTGTAAGTTTGGAATACTTGTGTTTCTATACTGTTAATTATGTAACAACCTATTTATATTTATTACCACTTCTCCTACATTACAGAACCCTCTTCCCTTCCTCCCGCCAGTCATCACAGAAACATTAGGGTAATACTCTTTTCTCAGTTAACCTTTCCTTCCAGAATAGTTTATTTTTGAGAGGAAACATTTGATAAAGCTCCGAGTAATTTTAAATACATGATTTGCCATGTTAACACTTGTCACTTATCATATGCACTTCAGTCTGACCTCCTGCCATTCTGTTAACCTTCAGAGACGCTGTTAAGGCGAGCCATTTGTGGTTCCCCTGTGAAAACTCTGCATTTAAATTGCTTTTCCTCCTTTCCTCAAGTTTTCCATAACTATAAATAAATTTAATTACCATTCCAAGAAGTGTAAGCATATCTTCTATTACATTCTTCAATCTTTTATCTCCCCCTTGTCCCTCCCTCAGTCTATCAGGCAGCCTCCCTGTTTCTCGTGGCACTTCTCCTTTCTCAGCTCCCCTCCCACAACTAGAAACCTGAGTCTGTTATCCTTTCTGTCCAACTGGGTTTCAGAGAGTTTCGGTCCAACCTAGTACTCTGGGGCCTACCCTGCAGGCACAAGAACGTAGTAGGGAATCAGCATCCAAGACTCCTAAAGTACCTCCACCAGCGGCTAAATCAGTCACATCCAAAGGTGTGTCCTCATCACAACAGAAGTACAAATTTCCTTCTGTCACCATGAGGTTGGGTCTAAATGACATCTTAAAAAGCTACACTAATAACAATTTACCTTGAAGGTTTCATTATTTTCCAAGCATTTTTAATGCCTTATTTCATTTGTTCTTTTTTCCCAATCATAAAATATAGTGCCATCAACTCTGTATTGCATTTGTTCTTGCCAAGGTCTTCATAATGTAAGAGAGGCAGGCAGTTTTCTCCCACTCTTGATGCATATGGAGAAATTAAGACACATCACACACACACACACACACACACACACACACACACACACACACACACACACACACACACCTATCTCTATCAACAGAACTGCTCCTTTGACTCCTGCCTTCTACCTTTTCAGGCGATCTTCCTTCTCTCTCCTCCCTCCTAGTCACATCAAAAGCTCCTCTATGGTGACAGCAGGGAGTTTAGAACAGGGACAGCTAGACTTCTTCCCCAGAACTGCTGGGGGCAGGCAACTGTGTCCTGGTGTCTGGAGTTTTCTGTGCCTGCTGGTGCCTCCCTCAGGGAAGCCCTCAGGTCCTCTTCATGCCACACCTCCTCAGATTCCCACAGTGGATCATGGGTCCATGCTTCCTTTATTCTTTTTCCTCCACACCACCCAGGGTTATAAACCATCCTTTAGGTGCCCCCACCCGGAGCCCAGGACTCTCGGTGGCGGGGTGGCCTGGCTGCCTCTGGGCCTTTAAGTCCTGGGACCTTGGAGCTGGTCCTTCTAGAACTGAGCAGGGAACAGAAAGAAGGTGGACCCATGAAGCAGGAGAAAAGTTAAGACTTCAACTTTTCAAATCTCAATGTGTTTATTGTACAAGAGGGATGAAAGCAGTTTGTTCGTTCCTCTTCAGGCCTAAGATATGCAAGGGATTGTGTACAGACCTGAGGTGACCCCAGAGTCTCCCCCCGCCACCCATGTCTCCTCAGCTGCCCAGTCCTCCCAGCCCCTGTCTAACACCGGCTGTCCTGGGCCTGCATCCCCATCCTGTGCCTCGCCTTGCTGTAATAGTTCCCTAACAGGCTTCAGGACTCCCATCTGCAGCCCTTCCAGCTCATTCAGCCTGCAACTGAAAGAAACCTTCCAGAAACCCACTTCTGATCATGCTGTCCCTTGGCCACCCACAGGATGAAGTCAAACTCCGTGGCACGGGCCACCAGCCAGGACTGGGACTCTCCAGCTTCCTGGTCACGCACCTCCTACCTTTTCCCAAACCTAGTTGTCCCTACACTGGATGTACCTTATGCCCTTGAGACATTTCTCCCTTCACCTCAAATGCTGTTCCTCTTGCCTAGCAGGCGAACACGTCCCCTTTTAGTGGAATCAGCTGGGGGCGAATCGTGAGCTCAGCTCTGTGCCCAGCCAGCTGTGAGGCCTGGTGCAAGCGGCCTTTACCCTCTTGTGTCTCAGCTTGGCCACAGGCCCAGTGCTGCTCACGGGGCTGGGAGGACTAGACAGCAGCAGGAAAAGGGCCAGGACAGTGCCCTGCTGCCCATAGGGTCCCCAGTGGACAGTTGTTACTGTTATTTGCCTATATGTCTCAGCTTAAGTGTCATTCCGTAGGGAATCTTCCAAGTCCCTAGGCTAGAAGAGTTTCTTGTTCATTTCTGCACAGAACCCTTCCTAATGGCCTACTCCAGCATCCCTAATATGTTTAGAAATGAGTTGAACGCTAATTTGCATTCAAGGTTACTACCTATCCCTCCACCTCTCCTTGCCTGCCCCACTAACTATAAGCTTCTGAAGGGCAGGACCAGTTTATTTAGTTTTGAATTCTCAGTGTCTGTCTAGGGTGTTTCGCAGGGCAGGCGCTTACCTGAATGTGTATCCCAGGCCAGCTGCAACTTACCCTTCAGCAGCTTTCATAGGATATCGCTCTGTGCTCACCCCCTGGCCAGGCTCTGGCACAAGCTTGTCCAGGCAGACCAGAATCAGGGCTGAATTTGGAGGAGGCAAAAGCCCATTAGGTATATCAACACTGACTTTCTATTAGTCCGTGTGTAGTAGGTAACTTCATTGGGTTACCCAACATGCCCAGGTGACTCCGTTGTCTTCCCTGCCCACTAACATTTAAGACTGGAGTGAACTTAAACACATACACAAACACCCAAATTACACCCCCCAATGTATCTTTTTTTTGGTGAAAAGAAAGTAGCATTCCAGGACCACTGTGTGTCTAAGGCATCTTGCAAGTTGGTCAGTTGTGTTCAGATGGAGCAGGTACTTAGGCATTTGACTTGGCCCACAGAAAGGCCGTGGGAGAGAGGCTCACCGGCTCAGATTGTTGGCCGGGGTCCTGAAAACAGTCTTCATGTCCACAACTTCTTTTTCTGAGCCTGTGGACAAGGCTACACTGAAAGTCTGGTTTACCTCCATTCCTCCCCCCAAGCCCACTCCGTTTTTATATTGCTCTGAGGTTAATAGCCATGTCGTGTGGGGTCATAGAAGACATCTGTGTCTCAGATAATATGCTTACGGTGATTACCACACATAATTGACTGACCTTCCCTCATTCTTTCCTTGCTGCAGGCCGAGGCTGATAGGAGGAAGCAAGCCACAGAGTTTATTTTCCATCACACACCATTGTGCTGCTGAGCAAATATTTTAGCAAGCTTTGAATGAACCACCTTTTCAAGCTCTAGGTTTTCAGAGTTAAATAGGAAGCCATGACCAACCTAATAATAATCCATTTTGAATCAGCTTCAGGCCACCCTACTGAAGCACTTTTGTGGGTCTCCTGGAAAACCAGGTTTGGGGCATGAACATTGCAGGATCCTCTTCCCTTCATCTTCATCCCATTGCCTTGAGGGGAGTGAGGACTCTTGATGCTCCTCACTGCAGTGTCTGGGTCTTTTGAGGAAGAGAAAAATTAGCCCTTGGGTGCCCAGCCAACACAGGTCCCAAAAAATACCCGGAGTCCAGCCTTTTGAATCAGCTCATCCCATCACTGGCCACATGAGGCACAGCCGGCAGCTCCTACATCCACCCACCATCACAGGGCCACCCAGTCTGAACAAAGAACATCTTAAGCTCTCAGCAAACGGATCCCTCTTTTTCCAAAGACAAGTAAGACTCTTGATCCCAAAGAGAATGGAAATCTAGGAGACTGAAATGAAAAAATTCCCCAAAGCAAACTTCAAAATGTTACATTAAGATTTTTAAACTTTTTAATAATGTTTTACCTTAGCTCTATTCCATCTATCTAGCAATTAATCCATCAGCCTTCACATAATACACACCTACAGGAAACGCGCTTCACGTGCCTCTGGGCTGGATTCCACTGTGGCTTACTAATGTGTTAACACTCTGGAATTCCCTTGACTTTCAGCATCCCTTCTTCCCAGCCCAGCCCTCCCAAGTAAGTTCGTAGGTAGGTGTCAGGGCTCCGTGACTCTGCTGGGATTTGGCCCGAGCCCCAGAGAACCAACCGCGGTCTAACTCACAATGGCACCACCTCAGCTGGATGTAAAAGCTCAACGTTCCCACTCCAACCTCACATCAACTCCCCAGACCTGAGTGTTGTACCCTCAGGAGGATTAACTGGAAAGCAGGTGTCAACAAAAAACTTTTCTGCCACAGTTTGTCACATGAATACTGCTTCAGAGTCATTTTAATCTGTGCAATGACATAAATTGGGACCTAGCTGCCACTTGGAGAAATCCACCTGCAATTGTCATTTCACCAATATTTTACAGAAGGCACTCATATCTTCTGGTTGGAGGAGGGACCAAGGAAAAAGGCTGGGTGGGGGGGTGGGTGGAGGATCACAACTGCTTAACAGAAAAATTATACATATTCTAAACATATGGGTGATCTTTAGAAAATCTCAGCATCACTTCATAATTATATACTACAAGTTTTAATTAACTAAAGCTCTGCAAATCATAATGCCTTATTAAAATGCAATTAATCCTTTGATTAAAAAACAAAAAGCACAAGTATTTACAACAAAAACACAAGTAGAATAATTACAAATATCATGTACCCATTTCTTTTATTTGGGTGTCACTTATGATGTTGCCCGCTCCCTTCATTAATTCGAACACACACATTATCTCGCATCCACAGCAGCTTGAGTGACAGTGGTCACCAAACACACAGCACTATATCCTATTGATTTCGGCAAATCCTGAACAATGCCATTTGCATGCTTGTTTCTGTAATAATAAAGATATGCCATTCAGAATTAAAGCCTGGCCAGGCTAGTGGCAACTAATTGTGTTGTATGTAATGAGTGCAATTTCAATTTGATATCACCCTCAGCTTTTCTTGCCACACTCGCTAAGTACTTTCAAGTCTTTGTGGGGAAATAATTGATTTTTTTGTGCCGTGGGCACAAGAAAATTATTATGATCTTTTGAATAATGCCAAAGAAAAGACCATGAATGATTTAAATTGGTATATGAAGAAGGCTTCGCTGTGACTGCAGCTTGACTGACATCCTGCTAATGCAGTATCTAGATTAGCAGTTTTTAAGGAGGCAGCTAATATGAAACTAGTAAAATGAAAAGGTTGCTACCAGGATTGGGTGGCACTGGGTGTTGGTGGGGAGGATGTGTTGCTCCATTTTATTTGTTATCCAGGGATGACCAACAATTTGGGGATTTAAGGCATGACACGATTACGTAATTGCCTGGCCCTCACCACCGAGGGTATTATTCCACTGATAAATTACACATTTGAAATGGGCAGAGAGGAGAGGGCTGAAGTGGACTGTTAGCAGGATTCCAGTTCAGGTGGGCAGACCCACCTGCGGTGGGCAGATCCAAGTAAATGGAACGTGAAGATTGATTAGCATCTTTTTCTAACATTCAGCTCCAGGAAGAAATTGGGAGTAGGATAGTAAGGAAGCTACTTTATTCACTCTTTAATCTCCCCATTAGGAACAACTGTGAGCATGGCTTGGCCTAGCGGAAGAGCTGAAGTCCCCTTTTCACCCAGGATGGTAACAGGGAAAGAAATCTAAACCTAAGACAGGTTTCCTTTGTGCCTATGAGGCCTCAGATCAGCAAGCCCAAGGGGACAACTGGTCCCCTCCCCTTTCTCCCTCCTCCCCATCCTTCAGTTGAGCCTTCCCTCCCTAATGTGGCAGCCTAGACTTGAACAACAAGGAAATAAGCACCTTAGAAAGATATGGATCCCCAATTCAAAACACAATTCCACCTTAAAATGCATCCACCTTCCAAATCTCATTCTTCAGAGGAGGGAGTGTTGTTAATTTAGTTGGTCATAACTAAATAGTTTCTAATCTGGAGCAGGAGGCTGCTGGGAATATTGGACAGTTTAAAGGTTAATCACCATCGCCTGGTTACACAAGTGAGGCAGAACTAATTCCTCCAAAGGCAAATGGCTTGCAGTTTTATCAGCAGTGCAGATTAGAAGTGTTAATATACAGAACAGAATGGACGCTTAAGGGCCGGTTTTCCCCTTATCGGCAAACTTTGCAACAGAACTCAGCCCTTGCACAACCTCTGCACTTCTATAATAAGACCCCTTATTTTGCCTCTCGAGCAGAACTATCAAACAATCCTGTCCAAACCACTGCCACCAAAATCAGGGTATTACAGACCACAGCTAATTGGAAGATCACTATAATGAAGGAAAAGATAAAATACTTTGGCTGTTGGCCTAAAATGTGGATCAACACAACATAGGAAGCTATCTTACTATGTCACATTCTGAGAGATTTACATAAACAATAAACTCAATCCAACTGCCCCCCAAAATATATCTTTGTTTACAGTAAATGCAACCTAAAGACAGACTAGAGGAGGAGGGAGAGGTACTTTACATCAGCAATATAATGAGGCCCGGGGTTTTGCGACTGTGCTGGAGCACAGGGACTGTGTCTATTTCCTCTCTTGCATTCAGCAGGGAGAAAATGGGTTTTAATGTTCTCCACACTTCCTATATCATAGATATTTAAATATTTGGACCACTCAATATGCTAAAATGCTTCTATCAGCTGCATACATTGACTTCCGTATTTCTGCTAGGGCTGCAGGTGCTTCCAGGGGAGGAGAAAGGGGAAGGCATAGGAGGGGAGGGTTAAAAGGCTGCTGGAGGCTGGGACCTAAGTGACTTGGTGGGTTTTCTTTAGGAGACTGGGGGGTGGAGATGAAGTGGATGCGGGAGAGGGTGGTGTTTTCTGAGAACAAAATTAAAGACGACCAACCTAATTGAGCAGGGACTGATACATTTCCTTAAGGGGAAATCTCGTATTATAACAACACCAAACATTCCAACCACACAAGGAAGAGGCTTTCTGGGGAGCATGCCCTCAGAGCCCATCCCTCCAGATGAGGATTTCTAGAGTCAGGTCTATTTTTTCCGCTAGTATCCAGGCAGCATGGATGAACCACATTCCAAGCTTTGTTCAGTGATTTTCCCCCTCTGGCTGCTGGCTCTCCACTGGATCCCAAAACACCTATCCTTCCTGAGCTATAGGGTAGCTAAAAGAAAGTGTCCCTATCTGCTGGCAATATGCTTCTGTCACTTACTTATTCGCTCTCATTATTTTATTGTGCAAGCACCTACTAGAAGGAGCCATGTTTTTTGTTTGAATGGCCCATTGCACCCGGAAGACCATTCCCATTAGGTACTCTTGGTTTATACCAACTATCTACTGCCTCAATACATGTTTATTGGATGCTGTAAAGGGTATATGCTGCTGACAAGGAAAGAGCAAGCTTATGGGGAATCCAGGCCTAGCACGTAAGGGTGAGGATGCTTCAGGAGATCAGTGGCCACATGATGACAGGGGACATGTGACATGAAAGTGTGGCTAAATGGCAACTACCCAGCCAAGGCAAGAAGTGCTTTGGGAACTGAGGAGGGTGAAGCTCAATCGGCCAAAGTGATCAAGGGCCTTGAACTGAGCCTATAATTCATTCACGTGTTTAGTCATTTATTCACTCAATGAACACTTATGCTCTTCTACTGTGTCCCTGCAATGTTCTAGACACTGGGTATGCAAAGATAAGTAGAACAAGGCCCTGTCATCAGGATGCTCCTCATGGGAGGTGAGGAAGAGGGACTGACACATAACCAAATGATTCCAATATATCAGGCCCTTGGCATTCCCAGATTTACCACGTGGAGGTTTGGCTCATGTTAGTGGTCAGCGTTGAGGCCCATGACATGCAGCCATTAGTGCTGAGTGGTGGCTTCAGGGAGGCCTGTACATGGCAGGAGACACTTGGCTGATGATGGGACCTGGTCACCTGCCAGCTTAGCTGGCAGCAGAAGAGGGCAGGAGCTGAGGGGAAGGTGAGGCCTGGGGGGGAAGATTTTTTTTAAATGGACAAATTCACAGCATGCTTATGTATTGAAGAGACTCATCCAGAAGAGAAGGCAAGCAGTGGTGCAGCAGAAACTAGGCACACTTATGGGAGCGGCATCCCCGCTTTCATGAGAGGTGGAGTCCAGTGGACCACGGGAAGCAGGGTGAGCCATTCATCTTGGTGAGCCCAGGACTTGCCCGCTCACTGATGTGACAGTGCCACCTCCCAGGAAAACCCTCCGAACCAGGAAAACTGAGATGGTTGGTCACCCAGTGGAGACTGGGCCTTAAGTACAGGGAGTCGGGGGTAGGCGAGGCAGAGCAGGTGATGCGGATGTGGGTAAGTTGTTTGCTTGGTGACAGGATGAAAAAGTGGTTCCCTTTTGATGCTTCCATTTTTTTTCAGTGAAATAAAGAATATATCTGAGAGTAATGAGCAGGGAGAAGGGTGGCTGAAGTGGACTGTTAGCAGGATTCCAGTTCAGGTGGGCAGACCCACCTGCGGTGGGCAGATCCAAGTAAATGGAACGTGAAGATTGATTAGCATCTTTTTCTAACATTCAGCTCCAGGAAGAAATTGGGAGTAGGATAGTAAGGAAGCTACTTTATTCACTCTTTAATCTCCCCATTAGGAACAACTGTGAGCATGGCTTGGCCTAGCGGAAGAGCTGAAGTCCCCTTTTCACCCAGGATGGTAACAGGGAAAGAAATCTAAACCTAAGACAGGTTTCCTTTGTGCCTATGAGGCCTCAGATCAGCAAGCCCAAGGGGACAACTGGTCCCCTCCCCTTTCTCCCTCCTCCCCATCCTTCAGTTGAGCCTTCCCTCCCTAATGTGGCAGCCTAGACTTGAACAACAAGGAAATAAGCACCTTAGAAAGATATGGATCCCCAATTCAAAACACAATTCCACCTTAAAATGCATCCACCTTCCAAATCTCATTCTTCAGAGGAGGGAGTGTTGTTAATTTAGTTGGTCATAACTAAATAGTTTCTAATCTGGAGCAGGAGGCTGCTGGGAATATTGGACAGTTTAAAGGTTAATCACCATCGCCTGGTTACACAAGTGAGGCAGAACTAATTCCTCCAAAGGCAAATGGCTTGCAGTTTTATCAGCAGTGCAGATTAGAAGTGTTAATATACAGAACAGAATGGACGCTTAAGGGCCGGTTTTCCCCTTATCGGCAAACTTTGCAACAGAACTCAGCCCTTGCACAACCTCTGCACTTCTATAATAAGACCCCTTATTTTGCCTCTCGAGCAGAACTATCAAACAATCCTGTCCAAACCACTGCCACCAAAATCAGGGTATTACAGACCACAGCTAATTGGAAGATCACTATAATGAAGGAAAAGATAAAATACTTTGGCTGTTGGCCTAAAATGTGGATCAACACAACATAGGAAGCTATCTTACTATGTCACATTCTGAGAGATTTACATAAACAATAAACTCAATCCAACTGCCCCCCAAAATATATCTTTGTTTACAGTAAATGCAACCTAAAGACAGCCTAGAGGAGGAGGGAGAGGTACTTTACATCAGCAATATAATGAGGCCCGGGGTTTTGCGACTGTGCTGGAGCACAGGGACTGTGTCTATTTCCTCTCTTGCATTCAGCAGGGAGAAAATGGGTTTTAATGTTCTCCACACTTCCTATATCATAGATATTTAAATATTTGGACCACTCAATATGCTAAAATGCTTCTATCAGCTGCATACATTGACTTCCGTATTTCTGCTAGGGCTGCAGGTGCTTCCAGGGGAGGAGAAAGGGGAAGGCATAGGAGGGGAGGGTTAAAAGGCTGCTGGAGGCTGGGACCTAAGTGACTTGGTGGGTTTTCTTTAGGAGACTGGGGGGTGGAGTTGAAGTGGATGCGGGAGAGGGTGGTGTTTTCTGAGAACAAAATTAAAG